ATATATATATATATATATATATTAGAAGAATAAGAAATATGTGGAAAATATAGTTAGACAAGTAGAAGCTGCTAAGGTTTACTAATGCATTAGACAGAAAAAAGATCAATAACAGAGAGAAAATACCACTAATCCTGTCAGAGTGCAAAGTGTTTAACAGGCTTCCATTTCACACTTATAAGGAAGGAGGGTATCACTTCGTTTAGTAATGGCATTATAGTGTTCATAAAATATCTACCCATCTAACTTTTACTTCCCATATATTTTATTTTGCAATGAATAGTGAAATTAATTTGTCATTTATTATTCCAAGTTGCTAATTTGTTATTTATTTGCTAATTTGTATTATTCCAAGTTGCTAATTTGTATTATTCCAAGTTGTTAATTTGTATTATTCCAAGTTGCTAATTTGTATTATTCCAAGTTGCTAATTTGTATTTATTCCAAGTTGCTAATTTGTATTATTCCAAGTTGCTAATTTGTATTATTCCAAGTTGCTAATTTGTATTATTCCAAGTTGCTAATTTGTATTATTCCAAGTTGCTAATTTGTATTATTCCAAGTTGCTAATTTGTATTATTCCAAGTTGCTAATTTGTATTATTCCAAGTTGCTAATTTTGTATTATTCCAAGTTGCTAATTTGTATTATTCCAAGTTGCTAATTTGTATTATTCCAAGTTGCTAATTTGTATTATTCCAAATTGCTAATTTGTATTATTCTAAGTTGCTAATTTGTATTATTCCAAGTTGCTAATTTGTATTATTCCAAGTTGCTAATTTGTATTATTCCAAGTTGCTAATTTGTATTATTCCAAGTTGCTAATTTGTATTATTCCAAGTTGCTAATTTATATTATTCCAAGTTGCTAATTTGTATTATTCCAAGTTGCTAATTTGTATTATTCCAAGTTGCTAATTTGTATTATTCCAAGTTGTTAATTTGTATTATTCCAAGTTGCTAATTTGTATTATTCCAAGTTGCTAATTTGTATTATTCCAAGTTGCTAAGCAAACCAAACCAACCATACCCCCGGCCGGGATTGAACCCGCGGTCATAGAGTCTCAAAACTCCAGCCCGTCGCGCTAGCCACTAGACCAGCTAGCCACAATAAGATTCATCCAACTAGGTATATTTCTACACCATAGGAAAGTTAGCACAGGCACCTCTGTGACCACAAATGCAAGTTTTTACAGACGAATCTCCAGCTAGCGTGGCCGTGACGAACTCTAGCTCAAGTCCCTTCACTGCCGTCAACATGACTCAAGAAATCGTAATGACACGATTGCAAATAAACCATACCCCCGGCCGGGATTGAACCCGCGGTCATAGAGTCTCATTACGATTTCTTGAGTCATGTTGACGGCAGTGAAGGGACTTGAGCTAGAGTTCGTCACGGCCACGCTAGCTGGAGATTCGTCTGTAAAAACTTGCATTTGTGGTCACAGAGGTGCCTGTGCTAACTTTCCTATGGTGTAGAAATATACCTAGTTGGATGAATCTTATTGTGGCTAGCTGGTCTAGTGGCTAACGCGACGGGCTGGAGTTTTGAGACTCTATGACCGCGGGTTCAATCCCGGCCGGGGGTATGGTTTATTTGCAATCGTGTCATTACGATTTCTTGAGTCAAGTTGCTAAGGTTTATTATTCGAAGCTCATAAGTTTTCTAAGTCTACTTACAATATTTAATTCTCGGATAATATTGAAACTTTACGTCCTAAGTTCATCATAGGTAATTTTTAAATTTGGAGTCAAACAGCGTCTTGGGCATAAGAGAGAGATAATCAAGTTTAATCGAAGACCTAACGAAAAGAGTAGCTCTGAGTCTTTCGATCAAGAGCCTTTTACCAGGGAAGCTGAGATATGTGGGAAAGTCTCCTACCACCTATTGCCCCCTGCTCTCCCTGTGTGTTGGTCGACTGTTATTGGTAGCAGCCTCGAGAAGAGCAACTAAGGGCCCCGGAGGAAATAAATCACACTGCTTGGTATATCATAAAACTCGTCAAAGTTCAAGGGTGTTGAGCAAAACTGGTATCGGAGCAATGTGGAGAGAGCTACAAGAGAATACAAAAGGTGGAACACATCACGGTAAGAGACAGTACAACAGAAAATATGACTACAATATACGAGATAGATCCTTCAAGTAACTTTCTTTATATGGAAGTCACTCCCTACAAGAGTAAAAGCCTCGGCAGGAGGTGCAACATCCCCCACCCCAATGAAAAGCAGAGACGCCATGAATACGCTAAGAAGCAATACAATAAGTGTCAGGGGCCCAGGACTATTTAGCTCTGTCCCAGCATACATAAGGGAGATTGCCAATAGACCCCTGGCTGTCTTTAAGAGGGATCTGGACAGGCACCTAAAGTCAGTTCCTGACCAGCCAGGCTGTGGTTCGTATGTCGGTTTCCTTGCGGAGAGAAGTAACAGCCTAGTTGATCAGGCCCTGATCCACCGCAGGGCCTGGTCATGGGCCGGGCCGCGAGGGGCGCTGACCCCGAAACACTCTCCAGGTAATGAAACAGAAGCATGGAATAGTAGGGGATATGATCACAAAGTGAAAGATACTCTTTTAACACTGAGGAGACGTATAGCATGAGATATGATTACAGGAAAAAAGATACTTCGAGAAATCTACATAATGGACAGATACAGATATATCTGATCCAAGGAAAGAGAGAATAACTCAAATTCCTTGGATCAGAATCTTTTCAGCAGCAACAAAATACTTCCCAGATGGAAGGCAAAAGGAAAGAGTTAGGCAGTGATCTTGTGTTAGCCCTGAGAGCCACTGAGAGTTTACGTCTTGTCTGGTGAGAAATACGTAAGAAATATTAAACTTCTTGAGAGAGAGAGAGAGAGAGAGAGAGAGAGAGAGAGAGAGAGAGAGAGAGAGAGAGAGAGAGAGAGAGAGAGAGAGAGAGAGAGAGAGAGAGGAGGGGGAGATGAGGGAGGAGGGAAGAGAGGCATAATGAGAGCAGTCTTACCAACTTTCATTCAGTAATTACGCCAGACAATGTTTTTTTGACAAAGCATATAAATACACATTAATTTCCTGATTAATATAAATCTAATTTTTAATACGTAATTAGAGACTGTCCCTTAAAGAGTTCGGCATCCATAATGAGCGAATATTTAAATCAATAACTTTAAAAACTTCGCTTCCTCCTCCCCCGAACTACTGGAGTTGGTGTTGGGAGGGTAGAGGTTGGCCCCAGAGGTGGATGGGGATGGAGGTAGTGATGGAGGGCTGGTGGGATGGAGGTAGTGATGGAGGGCGGGTGGGAGGGAGGCAGGGTTGGTGGGTTGTTAGGGAGTAGAGGGGGGTGGTAGTGGGTGGGGTGGAGAGGGGGAGATACGGGACAAGGGTTCGGGGAGGATGAGGGTCGGGGAGTGATGGGGAAGTGGTTGGTGGGGGAGGGGGTGTAGAGTAGTGGATGGGAGGAGGAGGAGGAGGAGGGGGGAGGATCGAGCTATGAATGAAACTGGTTAAGTTTACGTGAAGTAAGTTTCTCCTCGTCTTGTTAAGTCTCTTTAGGGAAGAGAGTTGCGTAGCAGCAGCAGGGAGACCTGTGCTTGCTCTTGTTACTTAGCGATGCTCACCTCCCGCATCAACAACAAGCAACACCTTATAACCTAGAGACTTTATTGTGCTATGTAATTATTGACTCTGCTTCCCTGATTTGTGAACCTATAGCATTTCCCTTATGTATTCGAATCGCATAGGATGAACCTCATCACTAAGGCTTTGAAAATGTATTTATATTCTGACAGTGATCATGCTATATAACCATAAATCTTTATTTGAAGAAATCAAGTAGGGATAGAAGAATAAAAGTCATAATACCGTTGATGGAACAATTCACAAATAAAACACATATAAAATAGAAAACTTAGGACGACGTTTGTGTCCGTCCAGGACCATTGTCAATTCATATAGAGTTGTGACTATGGCGATGACCAGAGAGGGTAGGAAGAAAGGGTGTCTAAGAATCATGTCACTCGTTGCCTACGAGATGTTACAATGAACAACCCCCATACATCCAACTGACGAACTGCCAACAGAAGACAAGACAGACTCTGAAGAATAATCTTTCTGGGGGGAGGGAAGATGGGAAGGCAACGTTTCGCTTATTCTGCAACCTGTCTTCTTCAGAAGGAACCCCATCCCGAGGGTTCACTAACCTTCACCTGGGACCTAATGTAAGTAAAAGTTTGCACTTCATCAGGAGGAAAAAAGCAATCCACGTTATTATAGTAGTACCACTCCCCTCACCACCTGAGACAGTAACTATTGTCTTCTCTGTGTATTCCAGGAGGCTCCTCTCTAGCTTCGCAGACAAGATCAACTTGAGATAAAGTTTCCTTCTTCCAGTTTTTCACGACAGACGTTAGGAGGATCCAGCCCAAGTGCATTTGAATTGTCCCACACGGTTTTAGCGCTACGTGTGATATATTCATCCCGTCTTGTAGAGCGAGATTACGACGGGGCGCGAGCGAGATGTAGAGTGTCCACCGCGAGTGTTGGTGCCGTTGTGTGTGTGTGTATGTGTGTGTTTATGTGCAGGCTGCTGCCGTCGGCCGCTAGAGACCGCCACCGCTCGAGTCCTGATGCCTTCCCCCACGTCGCTCTGACCCCCAGCCAGCCCACCTGCCTGCCCGTACACCACACTGAAACAGCTATATGATAGTCTACTACAAGTATCCGCTGGGCACAGGAAAATAAGACTTGGAAATCGCGGCGTAAGTATGATGAAAAGGATGGTATTAATACTAGTTGATGATCGGAAGGTTATTTTGTACAGCAGGTAAAAGGGCCAAATGCTTGACTGTTGTAGACCCAGTAGATATTAAACTTATGTAAGGAAAACTGATGTGACCGCTGGAGATTCAAGGTAAAAATGCATCTACGAGTGTCAATGTGCGTATGAGGGGGTATGTACGTATGTGTGTGTGAGTGTGTGTGTGTACATGTGTGTGTGTGGGTGCCTGTGTATGTCGGATCCGCTGGGGCCGGGTTCGGGAGGGTGGACGGAGGACCGGCTGGCCACCAGTGCTCAGTCACCCAGCGGACATAGCGGCGCATGGACCTGCCGCAGCGCCCAGTTGCCGCTCAGTCCACCACTGGCACCCGACCTAGGCGGCGGCACACAGCGGCGGCTCGAACACTGCCACCGCTTATTGCCATCCTCACACCTGGCCCGAGATTCACCTGTACTCACCCTGCGGACATACCTCACACTCGGGATATTTCTTTAAGTGTTAAATAATGTAACAGAAGCGACCGTGTAGGTGAAGAATTTTTTTAGGGAATTCTCCCTCATCCCGACTTGGGTTTAATTGTGTCAAGTGAAGAAAGATATTAGAAAATCAGTTGGTTCCTGGAGAGAGAAAAGGTGGAGGTGTGTGGTGGAGGGAGGGAGGTTGTGAGGGCATGATACTGAGGAGGTCGAGGACTCTGCCGCCACCTCCTGTATGAAACTCCGCAGTCCTGACTCGGATAAGATGGAAGTGTTGTATCCGGGCAATCTGGCTCTACTGAGCATGTTCCTCAAGAACCCAGAGACCGACAAAGGCGAAATCAAGAAGGACGAAGGGAATAAAGGTGAGACTAGTGAATGTTTTGATAGTGATGCTGACGACGGTGCAAGCAGAGCGACACAACACGTTAGCAGGACACGTAATATTATTATATTTTAGATTTTATTTTTTTGCTTCCAAAAAGGAGGTATCGTATACAGCCCTACATAATGTGGAGGAGAATTATCAAAGCAAAGGCTACAAGTTGTCCAAATGGAAGGTGAGAAAATGTTTCTGAACCTGCATGTGGCGTTAGTTTAACACATAAGCTCGTCAAACTTTACATAAGATTATCCATGAAATTTCGTTGTTAATCATTTTCCGCAGTCGCTAAAATTTCCTCAAACAACGAATTTAAAATTTCTGACCATTGTTTAATATTATTTGTAGTGCAATTACACAAAAATTACATACTCTATGCTAAAAGTTTTTTTCAGAGTTATTTTGAGCAATGTATGTCTTGACGTATGCCACAATATTACATGTGTTCGACAGGCTTAATTAACTATGGTTTCCCAACAGCACTTCGCGCTCTGTGCTAGAGTTTCGTCCGAATATAACAGCTTTCAATAATCCCGTAGCTATCATGTGGATTACATTTGTAACATACAATCTTATTATTTTAGTCGCCATGATATCAGTCATGTAAACTACATAATTAGCCTACAAACTCTTGGACCAGTAGCAAAAATGTGAGACTCGAGGGAATGCAATCTAAGACGAAAATCACATGGATAATAAAAATTACCACCGCCCAAAACTGTCGACCCAACCCCCTAAGCTAGCGTGCATATACCCGGGCAACACACTCTGGAAGGGCAAGCATATCCAGTCTGCCGTCTTGGAGAACTGCCGCTGTCTCTCTCTTGCCTCGCCCCCAGCACGTGGCATAAGAAAAAGACTCGCTTAGTACCACCGAGGAGACGTCGGTACATCGGCACACACAAACATTGGCGACGTGCGATCAGCAATGGGTTGGTTTTTGCACGAGTTGCTCAAGGGCAAAAAAAAAAAAGTACACATAGGGAGGGGCCCCGACGCGCGCCGTAAAGCCGGCTTCAACTGAGACCGTCATTAATTCCCTTTGGATTTTCTGACACTTTCTGGCACCCACGAATTGTAATTTGGTGGCTGAAGATATCAACGACATACATCGAAAACACTTGCTACTCATGTTCACCTAGTAGTAAATAAATAAATTCCTAAAAACTAGTCTACTCTTGTGGGTTGTATCCTAGAGAAAAAGACTAAAAGATTCAATGTTTTACTATAGGCGTTTCCTTGTAAGAAATATTCACTGCTATTGTAACCAATGTATCTTCCTGAGATACACTGGTAAGAAAAATAAGCCACACCGTTTAGATTTCTTGGGTTATTCTGGATTAATAACCCTTGCGGGTTAATAATCAAGAGAATGTAATGAAAACAAGACAGCAGGAATGATAATATAAATGCACAAAATCCCATGTTCTGTATTAAGGTCACTTAGATTCTGAGCTCCAGCACGTTTGCTCTAGCTTATCATCACACAAGAGGGTTGGCCAAAATGATGCTGGGTAGTGGTCATTGTTTGTGGTGGTGGCGGCCGTTAGAAGCATGCCACAACAACAATTGCAAGTCAGATGAGACACGCAACACTAACTCACTGTTTTACTCTCTCTCTCTCTCTCTCTCTCTCTCTCTCTCTCTCTCTCTCTCTCTCTCTCTCTCTCTCTCTCTCTCTCTCTCTCTCTCTCTCTCTCTCTCTCTCTCTCTCTCTCTCTCTCTCTTTCTCTCTCTCCCCTTCAAAGTTATGACATAAAAGATACGATCAAATATATCCGGATTTCTTAAGACCACCAGACAATAACTAAAGAAAAGTATACTAAAAAACGACGTTTCTTCACAAATACTGTAGTAGAATACTACAATGGAATCTAAGAGGAAGCAGTTTGTGTTACATCCAATGAAAGCTTTAATAGATTAGTTGAGAAAGTGAGTACTGAAAGCAGGACACCACCATTACTGCTTCTATAGCTACCAAAATATCACAAAATAAGGTATTCACACGTACTGAAACAATCTTTCTTTTCCACATTACTTGTAATTCTAAGTACGTTCTGTTGTACTACCTCCCGCCAATAATTTTGTTCTTTCACATTTAACTTTGTACACAATGCGCCGGTCTAAGGTCAGATTTCTAATTAATTTCCTATTCAGCATCCTTGTGCTGATATCTTTATACAACGTAATCAGTGTAAAACTTAATCGTGAATCAACTATTCTTCAGCGCCTTACAATACAAATATGTTTTGAGATAAGATAAGGTTTATCATGTTAAACTGAGCATGATTATACAGACAGTATTATAAGTTTATCTACTAGTTGCAATAGGCACATATCATGGTCAGTTTTTAACCACCGTCTAGGTATGTTATTGTTAGTGAACATCCAATGTCGTTATACCAAGTAAATTAGTGAATAATATACAGCATGGTTTTCTTCACAATACTATGTACGTAGATCTTTTATAAATCATGAAGGTAATTGTGAGTTGTTCAAAAAATTGAGAGAATAAGGCAGACTGCAGTACTAGATTTAAGTAGGAAATCGATGCGGACAGAAAGATAATGGTAGTCTGTGTGGCTTTAAAAAAGACTGCTGATAACACGTTTATTTTGGTTGTAGTGGACATTTAAAAAACTGATTCATGCTTGAACTTCATAATTTTGAGAAAGAGGTGTTTGTGGTTACACGAGGGCGTGAACTGTACCATCAGCACCATTATGATTTTGCTCCGCAGTGAGCCTGCCTTCCTGTCTGCCGGCCTTTCTGCTTTCCTGTCTGCCTTTCTATTTTCTGCAAGCCTTCCTGTTTGCTTGCAAAAGTGCTTGCCTGTCTGCATACATGTCATTCTGTCCATTTTCGTTTCTACCTACCTGTTTATCTTTCCGTCAGCCCTCCTGTCTGCTTGCGAATCTACCTACCTGCTTGTCTTTTTCTGCTTCGCTGGTCAGCGGGTGAGCCCCTGAGGCAGTACAGGAACGCTAATAATTTACACTCACACTCATTGCGCTTCGTGTCTACAAGAGCAATCAGGCAGGAGGGTGAGCCCAGAGCCGCTGGTGGGGAGAACTACATTAATTGCTGCTTATTTCCTTCGCTGAAGGATGGCCTGGAGGGATGTGGTGATAGAATGGACAGCCGAGGGAAGGGAAGAGAGAAAGGCTCCCTGATTAATTGAAAAAATATAGGGAAAGGGTGTTTATACGGCAGAGTGTAAACTTTTCAATTTTTGATTGACTTGGTTTTGCAGTGAGCACGATGGCGTGAGTTACATACCTGCAACTAGTTTCAAGAGTACTCTCTAAGTTTGGCCTGATCATCCAGGCTGTTGCCAAATGGCGTCGTATATAACTATCACAAGGTGGCTGATCTGGTATCTCTTGCAGATACTGGTTCAGTTTCCTTGTGGTGTTGCATAATTAATTTACTGTTAGGAGAGGAAAAACTTTACAAAATAATGAAAACTAATTACTCTTGAGATATATATATATATATATATATATATATATATATATATATATATTATATATATATATATATATATATATATATAATATATATATATATATTGCAAAACAACCACTCTGAAAGAATAGAGAAATTCCAGCGCTTTCGTGACTACTCACATTATCACATAGTTCCTTGATAATGTGAGTAGTCACGAAAGCGCTGGAATTTCTCTATTCTTTCAGAGTGGTTGTTTTGCATATTTTGGAATCACCTGTTTACTGTGATCTTATTGCATATATATATATATATATATATATATATATATATATATATATATATATATATATATATATATATATATATATATACTTCAGAAGATGCCTTTTTATGTTAAGAGAGAACAGGTTTTATTATTTTCAAACGATTATGATGAATAAAAGGATATTTAAATCGCAACACCCAAACTTTCTTCATTTTTGTTGGTGTCAAAAATTTTCGAGAAATACCCTGTGCTGTAGGAAGGTGGGTTAGCTGCCAGCAAAGACCTGGTTACTAGGAAGAGCTCAAGTAATTGTCTTCTTCAAAACCTTGGCTCGTGCAGGTAGGTTCTGCTGATGGTATAAGCAGAGGCTGGTACTGCTGATGGTACAAGCAAAGGCTGGTTTTGTTGATGGAACAAACAGAGGCAGGTTCTGCTGATGGTACAAGCAGAGGCTGGTTCTGCTGATGGTACAAGTAGAGGTTGGTTCTCCTGATGGTACAAGCAGAGGTTGATTCTGTTGAGTGTACAGCCAGAGGTTGGTTCTGCTGATGGTAGAACCAGAAATGGGTCTGTTTTGTTGATGGTACAGCAAGAGGTTGGTTCTGCTGATAGTACAACAAGAGGTTGGTTCTGCTGATGGTACAACAAGAGGTTGTTTCTGCTGATAGTACAACAAGAGGTTGGTTCTGCTGATGGTACAACAAGAGGTTGTTTCTGCTGATAGTACAACAAGAGGTTGGTTCTACTGATGGTACAACAAGAGGTTGGTTCTGCTGATGGTACAACAAGAGGTTGGTTCTGCTGATAGTACAACAAGAGGTTGGTTCTGCTGATGGTACAAACAGAGATTGGTTCTGCTGATGGTACAACAAGAGGTTGGTTCTGCTGATAGTACAACAAGAGGCTGGTTCTGCTGATGGTACAAACAGAGATTGGTTCTGCTGATGGTACAACCAGAGGTCGGCTCTGCTGATGGTACAATCAGAGGCTGGTCCTGTAGCTGGTACAACCAAAAGTTAGTTCTGCTAGATATTTGATGAGAGCTATTCAAAATATAGCTGATAAAAGCAGGTAAGGAAGCTGACAGATGAAAGCACTTATGCTTGATAGACGGAGGTATAAGTGAGTGTCAGAAAACAACCCATCCTCCTAAAATAACAGTCAGTTTATCATATACGATTTTTAAGCAATTTTCTTGACATACATAGTTTAGGTTGAGTATAACCACTGACTGTAAGTAAAGTTTAACGAATTATAACATACTGTAA